TGCAGTAGGTGACTTTATAAGTTCCAGATGATTCTTGTTCTGTACTACCTCTCTGGAATTAGTTTGTGATGGTTCCACTGGTGCTTACAAGTATGTTTCTGCCTTTTTCTAAATAAAATGAGTAAAACAGAGTATGGTTAAACCTGAAAAATTAAACGCAACAAAACAGCGAACGTGTCGGCAGAAAGCCTTCGTCAGCGAACAAAACAACAGAAAAAACGTTAAGAAATAGCACTTAGCTGGTAAGTAGTATCTGTGGGCAGCAATAGAAGTGTGGCAGAAGGAAACTGAGTGAGAGTTTAAATAAGCAGCGGCGAAAAAAGGGGGGAGAAAAAAGTTCACTGTGATAGGTCAGAACGTGGAGGGGCGGAGCTAGGGTCAAGCTGTGAACAGAGACATAACATTAATCCCATCTGGCGTCAAAGTGCCGTAAGTCAGGATAAGTCTGTGTTCCAAATTGACCCGGCTGGCGGTGTTAGTGCTAGCCACAATCGCACTTATTGAAAAGTCCGCCTTGCCCCGGTGGTCGCTACTATTGAAGTGTTTGGAGACGGGACACTGTTTATCTTGTGTAATGTTTCGGAGGTGTTCGGTACACCTGTCCGAGAGACGGCGTCCAGTCTCCCCTATGTATGTCATCTGACAGCGGGTGCAGACAATGGCGTAGATAACGTTGCGGCTTGTACAGAGGAAACCGTCGCGTATCTGAAAACTGCCCTTGGGGAAACGTATGCGTTCAGTCTGGACGACAGTCTGCCTTTTTCTAACGTGATATTGAAAAAGAATACACGAATCTTTTTGTCTCAGGCAGTGGCGTAGCGAGGGTGCTTGGCGCCCGGGGACAAGATTCGCGCCCGGGGACAAGATCCATTTTTAGCGCCCCTTATTCTTTTTTTCAACACTCAAACCCATTATTTTCATCAATAAAATAATATCAAAGCACATTTTGGCGCCCCTAACTAGCTGGCGCCCGGGGACATCTGTCCCCCCTGCCCCCACTACGCTACGCCTCTGAGTCTCAGGCCCTGATTAAGTTGGAACTCCCTCGAGTACTTTGATTCCACTTTTGGAGTCATCCATCGCCATATGTAAGATCCCGTTCATTTTGTTAGGGACTCCAAGTTCCTAAAAAGCATCGTACAGGTATTTTCTGTCTCAGCTAACATAAGCGCTTTTGTACGGTAGTTCACATATTATAGAGTTGGCGTATCTTGCTCCAGGAGACTTCTAATAGTAAAAATATAAAAGTCTTAAATGCCCATTCACACATTTTCTGAAAAAACACTGAATTTCAATGTGCACCAAAAGTGCGTCACTGCATTTAGAATTGATTTGTTTAATTAATGGGGCCCTTGCCCCCGCTTTTGCTCAAGACTCTTTGGATTCCTCAATTTCTGCTCCCCCCTTCCTTGAAGTTGATCAATGTGACTTAACGGGGTTGAATCTAATCGTGTGTCAAATGATTATCTTGGATGCACCACAATGAGAATGAATTTAGTTTATGCATGGCGCTGGGTGCCAGAGTGCCTTGAACAGTTATTTCCCCTGATCAACTATTCTTATCGAAACATTCCGATCATATGCACTTCAAAATGCAGCTCTTGATTTTTAAATGACCGCACATTTTCTGGTTAGGGAAAAGCCGTCGGGATGCTCGATGTCAGCCCTACTTTCTGATCAAAATGGGAGCATTTCTTGGCCTGGCAATAACAGCCAACTTCGGTGCTGATACACACACTGTTTATATACATTTTGTTTTTCGTACAGCCGAGGGCCGCACATGACATCTCAAAATAAATACTTCTTTTTATTACTTTTTTTTTAAAATTATTCAGCTTATTAACGCTCCTTACCTTATGCATAAAGAATCCTATATCCGTTAGCAGTGTCATCTCAACGAAAATAAACTGTAGCACATCTTTAAAGCGATATTTGGCTTTGACTTGAGCATGCAATCTTCTTAATTTGTGGCTGGTATTCTGGTATTCACTTACTGATGCCCTTATTATTCCCAAATCTTTGGCAATCAAAGCATTTCGTTGCTTTTTTTTTATGTTGGTCGTTACTGAGAATCCAGCTTCACAGGCGTAGGTGCTTCGGACCATCGGCCAATGTCTTTTTACATTTTGTTACGCCCCCTTTTGTGTTCAATGAATTTGAACAAGCTCGTGGTCTAGGAGATTTGAAAAGGGGAAACCACATGTATATTTTAGACACACTATTGGCTAAAAGAAAGACCATCAGTGCTCTATATAAATGTACTGTATTACATTGAATATAATATGAACACAGACACATGAAATCTACATATAAAGACGTGAATAAATGTAGTAATGTGAATAAATGTAACACATATGATCAATATGAACAATACTATCACAAGTATAAGTTCCCGGAATTACTATTGCTAACTATTGAATGGCCCTATCTGCCTATCTAGTACTTATAAATTGCAACGGAAAGCTAGTCACGCATCGATATGCTCATCTTCTCTCTCTCTCTCTCTCTTTCACTGTAGGGGAATACACCCAGTACTTATACTGAAACATTTCGCGTGGCTTTACCTGAAAAGTGGGTCAACGGTCGCTTAGTAGATGTTGGTCTGGCCATTATGAGGTTTAACGACGTGTCTCCCTTCCTGGAAGGTGGTAAGCTGACACGGATAGGTTAATGGGGTGCATACAGAAAATGGCCCTAACTTGTAACAATTTCAATAGTTGTAAAAATTCATCTGAAGAGACATCCAGAATTCAGTTGGCAACGCATCCTCATGTTTTTCACGAAGAGCCATGTTATGCTCAATTTTGATGATTTCAAGCTGCACTGAAATGTTATACAGGAGTAAGACTGCGAATATCTTTAAAACGATCATTGAAATCTAAGTTCAAATTATTTAACAATAGATTGAATCGCTCACTTGTGACCAGCTCTGTAAGTTGTTGTCTGTAACTGTAAGTTGTTTTGCAGTCTTTGCAAGGGCTGGGAAGTGAGTATAATTTGATTGATTCAGTTGAGTAACAATTCCAGCTTAGATTCAAAAATACTAATTTCTTTCATAAGCATTGGTTACATTTGATTTGAAAACGCCCTTGCTATTTTAAATTTAATTTATTAAGGTGATCTGTGGTATCAGAAATGCTAGCCTTACAATAAACTCAGGCTTTTCCATATTGTTTAACAAATCGCTCTTTGCTCTGGACCTCAGAAACAGTTTCACTACTTGAATTAGATCCCAGAATCTTGCCAGCACTTTCCCTTTGCTCAGACAATGAATGTCAATATGAAGAACAAAGTCCCCCCAAATTCCTTTCATATTCTTCTGCAACAGTCTTAAACTGTCGGTGATTTAATTGGTTATCTCGAATGAAATTTACAATTTTCACTACACTATCCATAAGATTTGGCAGTGTATCATCTTTCAGCTTTGAGCAAATAGATTGCTGGTGAATTATACAATAATCCGCTTGAATGTCTGGAAAATCGTTGTCAGCCATCAGCAAACCAATCGGGCCAACTCTCTGTCCCACCATTGTAAGAACACCGTCTGTTGTAACCGAAATATGCTTCTTCAAATCAATACTATTCTTTAATAGAAATTATTTTAGTGCCTTATATACATCCTCCCCACAGGTTGTATTTTTCAATGGAAATAGTGCCAATAATTCTTCTTAAATCCATGTTACATGACAAATCTAACCCAAACAATAAGTTGGACTGTGTCAGTGATATCCCATGATTCATCCAATGCAAGACTAACACCAGTGGCTCACAATTCGAACAAACATTTGGCCAGCCATTCAGATGATTTTTTAAAGAAATAACTGTTCCAATTGGTGGATAACTCTTTCTCAAAATCTGAATCCCTTGACTTGTGTCCCTGCAGATTGGACTTTTCCATACCAGAAATAGAAGTCTGGCATGTCAAACACACTGCCTGGCTTCTCATTAAACAATGAAAACAAAAGTCCAGTTCCAGTGAACCGTTCAAAGTACCGTAAGGATCTCTTCTGTAACGTTCCTTTTTTTACTTGCCATTTTTGCTTTAGTCGATCTTTTTAGAAATAAAAATGCTTTCAAGAATCGTTAGTACTCTCTCTCAGAATTTCTTACTGAAGTGCAATAGCTACAAACACAGCTTTTATCCTGCTTTCCACTCCTGGAATTGATCCTACTCCGATCACTAGTCTGATTTCGTCTTAAAAATACAGGATAGACATACTGCCCCCACCTGGACAGCCTGCCTATTACGTTTCAACTGGTTCGCACCCCCCCCCTTCCGTAATTTGCGACACTTTAGTAGCCCAGATCTGACCCTGTTAACTCATGTCTTATTGTGATCCCATGAAAGCCCCCTGTCGTTTTAATGCTGACACTCACAAATCTAGTCATCTAAACTAGTCCTGTTGGTGGTGTGCATGGACATTTGACGATGACCAGCTAGATACGCATCAAGTTACCGTACTTTTAAGTTGTTTCCAAATTCTTCTCATACCAGCAAGAAGCCAGTATAGGAGCTGCTCATTCCTACCCAAGACAATCAGGGACTGGAACAATCTTTCAAAAGGAACGGTTGAGGCGAAAACACTAGACACATTTGTGTCTATTGCCTCAAGCCTTCAAACCCCTAGTGCATGATTCCCTCACAAAATGGCACTGGAAATCAGTGAAATTTCCTCATCAACACCAGGAAAAGAAACATTGCAAATCCCATCTACATGCATAGGAGCCAAAATGATCAATAAATTGATCGTGGGCCTTTAAGATTTAGAAGAAGAAGTAATTATACCCCTCCACCTGCCACGTGCATGATTTAGCCAAGAGTAGCAAAAGAGGGAATATCCAGACAATTACCAAGACTGTTAGTCACATTGGTGTCACAAGTGGTAGACAATTCAATACACAAGAAGAAGAATTACAATGCACTTAGTAACATACAGGCACAGGAAATAAAATTAAACAAATTTTAGGGTAAATAGAAAAATTAACGTAAACAAACTTGTCAAGTACACAATATATGATTTTTAATTCTTCAGTTATTTACTATTACGAACCTTGTGTGTTTAAGCTAATTTAATTAACCAAACAATACCATGGGATATTTCAAATGAGATTTTTTTCTCTTTCCAAAACTCGCTAAAAATAATTAAATAAATTCCAACAGACAGTCTATTTAACCCTATCCCCCTCAACATATTGTATACCCTGTCCCTAGCAACTGGGTGTGGCACACCTGTACACTTATTATAATGGGGAAAAGTGTTTCTGGCTATTCCTGGCAACTGGGTGGGTTACATCCATAGTCTTAATTCGCAGTAAATGGTTCGCTTTATGTCATTTTATTTTTAACAATGTGGCATGATTTAGTTGCCTTGAAACCGAACTCGCTTCACAGACTGTGTAGTTTCTCCCACTGAAGCATTTCTTCTGTATATTATTTAATATTAATGAACAATTATACAAAGAATAGTTGACTGCACCAACAGGGAAGGGGAGAAAGTAAGAGGAGAAAAATGGCAAAGGAATGATGCGATCTAAATGAAAGCTTTTATTGGCTGCCTACTTCTACTACACACTGGTATCTTAATCTCAACAGCATGTCAGTGGACTTTTTATTCAGCCACATTGATGGAAATCCTATTTTTATGGCACATTTTCAATGACGAGATTCAGCAAAATTCTGATTCAAGTTTATTTTGACAACAATGATACTAGATCAATCCTTTATAGCTCGTGACATCTTTGATCCAATAATAAGAGATGTATGTTAAGCATTCCTGAGTAATTTGGCGAGGTATTATGTTCCTGGAGAGAACATCACAGTAGGTGAGCAACTGATTGGTTTCAGAGGTCGTTGCAGCTTTTTTCAACATATGCTAACAAAGCCTGACAAATATGGAATACAAATCTTGTAGACCTGTGACTGTGAATCTACTTCGAATTAACCCCCTGAGAGGATGCCCATATCTCAGCAAAGAAAATGAAAGTGCCCTGCCAGCAACGAGAAATTAAGCCTGACAAATATGGAATACAAATCTTGTAGACCTGTGACTGTGAATCTACTTCGAATTAACCCCCTGAGAGGATGCCCATATCTCAGCAAAGAAAATGAAAGTGCCCTGCCAGCAACGAGAAATGTTGGAATATGATTGTGACTATGATTTCTTTCATAAGGGACTTGCATGGAAGTGGCCACAATTTCAGAACAACTATTTCATTCCCCGACAACTTGCAGAACCAATGGCCAAGAACAGACTCACACTAGTTGGAACAGTGAAATGGAACAAGATGTTCCCACATAAGGGGTTTGAGCAAAAGAAGGCTCTGCCCCTTAACAAATAAGGTTTTGTTTAGACAGAAAAATGTATTGCTCCTGAGCACAATACAGAATCGTCCAGTTATAGTATACCTTATAGTAAGTGAAACTGAATGCAAGAAATCAGAGATTGTGCTCTATAACAACAAAAGCAAAGGGAGGCATATTCGCCAAGGACCAAATGATGGTGTTCTCTGTGAATACAAAATACTGAAAGTGAAAGATGGCCTTAGTTTATGTTTTTTTTAACATTATTGACTTGGCATCAATTGCATTAAGAGTGGCATTAAAATATAAATATCTGACTAACTCACTGTCTCATGAAGACAACAGACAGTCAATATTGACTTTGCGCATTCCCTCACCCATCCGCAAGTAGAGGCGATCCGTCCCAACACATCAAGATATTGTGAGGTAAAATATAAATATCTGACTAACTCACTGTCTCATGAAGACAACAGACAGTCAATATTGACTTTGCGCATTCCCTCACCCATCCGCAAGTAGAGGCGATCCGTCCCAACACATCAAGATATTGTGAGGCACAACTTTGCCAGTGTTTTAAAATATTTACAAACACTTCAAATTCAAAAGCTGCCCAAACCACTTCAATTCAGCAAGTTTATTGGACATATTTGCAAAACCATTCTGTTCTTTTATGTAAAAACTGTGCAAGCTGAGCCCCTATGTTCCATGTGTACATGTGACTGCTCTGTTTTGAAATGGTTTTTCAAGTTGAATACATGTTATTATTGTTAGTACCCAAATACATTAAGAATAGATATTTATATATTGTCAAAATCTATTTTATGGAGGACACAGACTCAAATAATCAAACAACAACCAAACGAAAATGTTCACAAGCCAGTTTAGATGTTTTTTTTCTTCTATTCAATTATGCACGGGTGTGTTACACCCAGTTGCTACGGACTGTAGAAAAACAGTTTAGGCCTCCAAAAATAAGTCACTTTTGCATGCTTTTTACAATTGCATCCACCAAGGTGTTCATTGCAACTACCTTGTGGATTAGGTAGATTATGAGAAATATTATTAAAAGGAAACTCAAGATATCAGCAATCACAGTCTGTCTTCGGGTGTATTACACCCAATTGAGGTGGATAGGGTTAAAACATGATAGACAAACTTGGAATGATAACATCTTATTCCATAGTTACAAAGTAATGTTACAGCTAAACATGGGATAAAAATTGTTACAATATGAATGGTTACTGACTTAGTAACATCAAACTCTTAAAACTAATTTGACAGAATCTTTATGAAATTAATTTTCTAACGATCTTCAGTGCAAACTTATGAGAGAATTTGGCAAAAATTGTTTTGAAAGAGTGTTAGACAACACAGAACTATAATTCATTGATGTTTTGCTAATTTGCTCTAAATTAAACAACAAGAATCCCTTCATGCAAGGTATAAAAAGATATTTTATTCTAGAATTCTGCACAGTTCTCACCATTGTTTACAAGATATAACCCTGTCTGGTATTGTTTTATGAGAGATGATTTGAGAAAAGGTCAAGATCATGAAAAGTTTAACCATTTGAAGACATCAAAACCGTTGCTTTGCAGCTGATGATATTGTGAAACTTTGCTTGCTTAAAAATAATGCCATGGCAGGGATGATTATTTACATAACAAGAGGTGATATGTTGGTGACTTTAAACTGGGGAGCCTTCTTGTTTCTCTCTCACAGCATCCTAATTAAGGGGAAAAAGCAAATTTCATGACAAAAGTTAATCTGAGCTTAAAATATATTTTAAAAAATTATATAATAATTTTAAATTAAAAAATTGTTTATTTTTTATAAATAAAAGAGTGAAATAAAATATATTTCATTGTATAGCCTTATGCAACATGTTTGTTTGAATAAAACAATGTTACTTTTTACTTGGGTACAAGATTTTAGCTTTATCGAGTATTTTTATTTTTCAGCACGACTAGATTTTAACACTTTTCATGATTAATGTTGCATTTTAAAAAATATATTAAATACAAAAGAAATTGAGGAAAAAGATAATAAAAGTTTCATTTCCATTAAAATTCAATAATTCCCCTCATGAATTCTTTCAGTTAATTTATTGAAAATGTTGCTAGACTCCTTTCAGATTTTAATTCAGAATGTTCGACTGGAATGAATTCTTAATGGTTAATTCACTGCATTTAGTCATTTAAAAAATATTAAAAAAAAGAATAAAAAACAGACATACCTTGAATCTCTCTTCCAGAAGGGATATTTCAGAGATTAAATCAGTTATGGCATTTGTTATGGCTTCCTGTGGGGTGTAGTCAGGAGTGGTCTGGATACGCAGAACAAATTTATGCTCCAGTGGGTGAGGATTTTTGTACCCAGCAAACAATACTTGAGGATCTTTCAAAAGTTGGCTGAAACATGAAGCAAAAATAATGTCATCATAATATGATGAAATCAAGAGACTTTAAACAAAGACAGTTTTGGGAATCATCTAAACAAAATTATTTACAATGTATAAAAACTTATTATTTGACTATTAGTTTTCCACCATTAAAAAGGATGGAAAGATACGCAAGAAGGATAAACAATAAATTAATAGATAATAAATTAGGGATAGAGTAAAAAAATGTAGGAAACTGTATTTCCTGTGTAACCACATATTTGTCCTCGCTTCAGCCTGACTGATATTCATGTATTAAGAATGGAAACTCAACAAATGTAAATTTTAGCTGCCTCTATTTGTGTGGCAAAATATTGTATGCACTTATAAATCCAAGTTAAGAACATTATAATTATTAATAAGTTCAGCCATTCATTATTTTTCTATAAAATGTAAGGTTATTGTAGGTATTGCTATTATACTTCTGTGCGTACCCAGGAACAAAGTTAACTTGGTAGCCTTTATGAAGCATTAATTCTGTGCCTGCAATTTCTTGATGCTATTTCACAACTTGTGAGAGCATTTATTCAATAATAAGACTTATCTTTTTCTTATTTCTATCTTTTAAGAATTTCCTTATTTAAATCAAGTACTTAATTTCATTAAAAAAAATTAACAGCATTAAAAAATACTAATCACCTAATAATTTCAACTGGAGTAAATTAATTTAATAAAGTCATTAGTATGAGGCCATGCTGAAAGAAATTGATTTTACTATTTTTTTTATCAGCACTGAAGTGAAGATGCTAAATAATGCCAGTTTAAACACTTACATTGAAAACTTTGACTCAGTTACTTACGTTGTAATTAAATTCCCAAGAGTATGATCTTCTTTGTTTACGGTGAAAATTGCTGCATTGGGCACTTTGGTATCTTTTTCTATGTAAATTCTGAAATTTATTAGTTTTATTATTCTAATAGTCAAAACAGAAACAGATAATTCTATTAAGATAACTATGATAATTACTGAGCAGAATACATTATTATCAGCCTTTGCCTAAATTAAATTGGCTAGGCCTATATTATGGCTATTTTCACAAATCTATTTCCTCTGAAGTCTAAGTCAAGTAACTATATACTGTGTTCTTACAAAGTCTAGTTTAGTTACTGCAACAGAAGTCATAGGTCCAAGTTAATAAATTATAAATAACTAGAATAGAGTACTAACTAGAATTTTACAATAAAAAAACTGGGAGCCCTACATAGTAACAGCCTGAACTGTAATAGTAATAGGTTGTGAAATGATAGTTATTGATAGTAATAGTTATTAGTATTTAATAGTACAAGATATTCTTCGACTTTTCCCTCGAGACAGCTTGCTGGATCAAGGGAAAGTCACATTGCCATGCTCGAGGCAATGTCGCACGTGATCTGCCTCTTCGCGGCGCGGAAGACTAGTATGGGCGTGCTCCCAGAAGCNGTCAGATCTATCATTAACGCAGGTTCGACTGGGGGGGCTTGGACACGATCCTTCCCCTCCGACCGTGGCTTCCTTAAAAGGCCCTCGATGCCCACTGTTGGGAGACTGGGTGGGACCGAGTAATGCTACAGATGTGGTGCGTGGACTGCATCCTCTCCCCGCGGATGTCCCCATGGGGAAGGCGTCCCCTCTCGCACGTGTGACGCTCGACAGGCGCGTGCGAGGCCAACAAGCGACTGTTCGAGATGGAAAAGGTGGCACGGGACACCTTAAACATTCCTTGGTCGTGCTCCAGTTGAATGTGTGTGGTATCAGGCAAAAGTCGCACGAAGTAACCAAACTACTCCATGACCATAAAGTGGATGTAGGCTTGTTCCAAGAAACGTTGCTTCACGGTAAGCCGTTTCACATCACTGGCTACTCGCTATACCATTGCAAGTGTGACCGATACCAAGGCATTACCACAGCGGTTCGAAATGATCTCACGGTGGAGATCATTGAGTGCAAACGTTACGCTAATACTGACACGTTGTCGGTTAAAGTCTCTAAATGTGGGAAAACGTTCGCCGTGACGAACATTTACAATTCTCCAAGCAATGTGATCACGATCACCACCCACGGGGAGACGATCTTTAAACGGACTATAATTGCAGGAGACTTTAATGCCAAATCCCCCATGTGGGGTTATCCGGAGCGAAACGGCTCTGGTAAACACGTGGAAGAAGTCTGTCTCGAGACAAATCTTATCAGGCTTCAGGACGAGAAGAGTGCGCCCACTCTCCTTCACTACGGCCATGGAACGGAGTCCAGGCCAGATCTGACGCTCGTGTCCGCTGATCTCGCGGGACATCAGAATCTTAGTGTCCTTGAAGATATTGGGAGTGACCATCTGCCCATACTGCTTAGGGTTGACTTGGGACAGGCCAAAACCAAGTGCGATAAACGCCACTGGCTCTTTCGTAGAGCCAACTGGCAAAATTTCCAAAGTCAGTGCGAGACCAAGCTCGGACTAATTGCAGTCGACGTGGCCGACTCAGACTTAGATGTTGCTTTCGAGAAGTTTAATGGCGTCCTTCTAGAGGTCGCCCGTGTGACGATCCCGAGAACGACCGGGAAGCGACCGTACAAGCCCTTTTGGAACAAGGAGCTTGCGAAACTCGTGAAGCGAAGAGCAAAGGCTCGGAAAGAAGCCGCGAGAAAGAAAACACCAGTTGCTCGTGCTGGTTACAATAAACTTACGGCTGAAGTCCGGGCAGCTGTTCAAAAAGCGAAAAAATCGAAGTGGGTAAGTGCGTGTGAAAAACTCAATCTTCTAGACGGTGGGAAGGTGTGGAATCTGCTCGGAAGTCTCTCTGGTGCGGGGAAGGCCAAAAACCCGCAACCATTACTATCGGACAAAGGTGTCGTGGCGAGCGACAAAGAAAGAGCCAATGTGCTAAATGCTCACTTTGCCGCAGTGAACAATGAGTCAAAAGTGTCAAAAGAGACTCAAGAGCATAAGGAAATCCGCCGTCTGAAGATAAGGGGAGCTCGTATCCAGCGCACTGGACCCCACCCTGAGATTTTCACAGTTCCCTTCACAATGGAAGAATTGCAAACCGCGCTCAAAAAGTGCTTGGCGGCGAAAGCACCAGGACCAGACAGAGTTCACAATGAAATGTTAACCCACCTGGGTAAACTGGGGAGAGAACTTTTGCTGGCTCTCATAAACCGAACTTGGACTACAGGTATTTTACCGAAAGTGTGGAAGTAGGCCATAGTGGTTCCCGTACCAAAGGAAGGAAAACCAGGCCATTTACCAAGTAGCTTTAGGCCAATATCGCTAACGTCTTGTGTGGGTAAAGTGGCCGAGCGAATGGTAAATGGACGACTCTACTGGTTCTAATAGAGAAATAAGCACCTACCACCGACGCAAGGTGGCTTCCGTAAGGGTAGGCAGCCCATGGACCAGGTGATCCGTCTTGTTCAGTCCATGACCAATGAGCTTCAGAAGAAAAATCATTCGTTGGCAATTTTCTTTGATTTCAAGCAAGCATATGACCGCGTGTGGCGCGTAGGCCTCATGTACAAATTCCAGAAATTGGGAATCACTGGAAACATGTCCGGGTGGGTGACGGACTTTCTCAAGGACAGGTTTATTGCCACACGGGTTGGCTATAGCCTATCGAGGCGGCTTGCTCTAGAGGACGGACTCCCCCAGGGGTCTGCCCTCAGCTGCACTCTGTTCCTAGCGTACGTCTATGACTTGCAAGAGAGCTTAGTGTCCGATAATGCCATGTTCGCTGATGATCTAGTAATCTGGAGCTCTGGTAGGGACATCAACCATCTGCAGAACCGGCTGCAAAATGATCTCCATAGCATCGAAGACTATGCGAGACGGTGGAAAATGGTTGTGAACACTGAGAAGACGGTTTACTCTAGGTTCACCAATGGAAGGAAGATGCTTAAGGCCGATGTCAAACTCTCCATAAATGGGAAAGATTTGGTATGGGACAGGACTCCAGTCTACCTTGGGATAAAGTTGGATCAGAAACTCCGACTTCATCACCATGTACACGAACTGTGCGCCAAGGCTTCACAAAAACTGGGCTTGGTGAAAAAGCTGGCTTGTACTAGATGGGGTGCAGATGCAAGACTGTTGAGGTCGCTCTACCTTAGCAGTGTGAGAGGAACAATCGACTACAGTTTGCCCGTCCTAGCCTTCACGAGCCAAACGGCTCTAGAGGAACTGGACCGCATCCAAAACCGTGCTCTAAGGTTGGTATGCGGGGCAATACGGACCACACCCACGGCGGCGGTGGAGATCATGGCCAATGTCGAACCGCTCGAGGTCAGGCGGGAGAAGGCAGTCCTTACGACGGTAGAACGTTACCGCCGCATGGAAAGAGAAGATCCCTGTTTCCAACTGCAGAACGAATGGGAGAAAAAGTCCAGATTGAAGCGACCATCCTTCATGGACATGGTGCACAGTCTTGAAAAAGACGTTTCTCTGCCCAGAAACAGGGAAGAAGTGAAAGTGATCCCCGCGCGGGGGCCTCACAAAAGCCTTCCCCTACCAGACATTCGACTGGAAATGATTGACACCAAAGCCAGCGAAGGCAGTCCTCAACTAGACCCGTCAGAGGCTGCACGACGCACGATTGAAGCCTACCCGAACAGCTTGGTTAAAGTCTTTACAGACGGCTCATGTTTCACGGAGGAAAAGCGTAGCGGCTACGGTGTCCTCATCCAGTATCCCGCAGAGATAGCTCCACCCGAGGAGCTATCAGGCCCATGCGGTAGGAATGCAACGAGCCTCGATGCGGAAATTGAGGCGATACTGGTAGCTCTTAAGAGGTTGAACCAACGGCTAGCTAAACGAAAGTCCTTCCCGGACGTAGTGGTCTTCACCGACTCTCGTTCTGCTCTCGAACTCATGGGGGAGAGATCGGTGGGCTCGACAAAGATCACTGCCATTCAGGAGACAGTAGGCTCCATCCATGCACATGGCTCTAAGGTAGTCTTCCAGTTTATCACTTCGCGCTCAGAGGCGTCGCTTCTTGACAGGGCAGACTTCTTAGCCCAAGAAGGCGCAGCCCTACCCCAACCAGACAAACCCATGACTCAGCTCGGAGTCACTGCCTGGTTGAAAGACCATTTCAAGGGAAAATGGCACGGAAAGTGGGACACGGCCACTATTGGACGACAGCTTTACCAGAAATTTCAGCGGCCGAGCAAAAGCGACCCATGGTGGAAGCTTAGTCGTGGAGAACAAAGCCTTATCACACAGATGAGAACTGGGCACTGCGCTACGCGCAGTTATCTCCACAGACTCGACAACAGAAGGGAACCTTTGTGCCGACAATGTGGACTCGAAGAGGAGACAGTAGCCCACTTGGTTGTCACGTGTCCGAATAGTGGGACGGGGGCCGACGGTAGGAATCCGGAAGCTTGCCTAAATGATCTCCTATACGGAAGCGCCCAGCAGAGGAGGCGCGCCGTGGAAATCGTGTCCAGCGTCCTAAGAGATTGAATCTCGACCCTTTTGAGTAGTGATCTTTATTAGTTATCTTTTACCAGGCGGGTTTAAGGGTGGACCTCTGGACAATCCTTGCCCAGCACCACAAGCTCTCGGTGGTGTTACACGGGATCTTGCCCAGCACCACAAGCTCTCGGTGGTGTTACACGGGATCTTGCCCAGCACCACAAACTCTCGGTGGTGTTACACGGGATCTTGCCCAGCACCACAAGCTCTCGGTGGTGTTACACGGGATCTTGCCCAGCACCACAAGCTCTCGGTGGTGTTACACGGGGTCTTGCCTCTCCGTGGCGTGCCTGACTAGTAGGGGGGAGTTTTCCTTCTGAAGCTAAAAGATCCCAGGCAAAACGCATGATTTCCAACGCAACGGAAGTTTAAGCGGCAATGGGTGGCCGCCCAAACCCGTGCCAGTGATTAAAAAGACGCGGCCCTGAGAAAGCCGCCCCTAGGCGAC